ATATGTATGCAGGAGAAATAAATTAATTTTTAGGAAATCAATAAAACATAATTAAATTTTTTATCGCAGATCATTTTGACCGAGTCTTAACCAACGTAAAATTTCAAATAAATCGGTAAGCTAGAACTGATGTTTATGTGTGATCAGAAATAAAATATAGTAGTGTATGCGGCCATAGTAAAACAAAATTGACAGGATAAACGGAATAAGATCTTATATCAATGTATAAAATTTCGTCCACCTATGTAAAACAGTACCTAAATCATTTTTAAAAAAAAAAAGAAATCTAGTAAAGTACAACTTCTGGTTTTTGAAGGTCACTTAAAAATTTAAATAAGTATAAGATCGTCTAGTTAACAAAACAGTAGGGCTTCTCAAGTTATCGTGTTCCAATGGAAATAAAGTACAACTTCCGACAATCAGAAACAAAAGCGTAGCGAGGGGCCGGTGGGGGGGGGGAGAGGCGGGGGGTATATATCTCCCCGGGCGCCGACATTAGGGGCGCCAAAATGGGTTGGAAAAACAAATTAAAATCTCATTTTAGCTGCATTTTTTTCAATATAAATATAAAAAATATATGGGGGGGTCAAATTGAAAGTTTGAGAGGGGTGAAAATCAAAAGTTTGAGGGGGGGGGGTCTGCAAATCAAAAGTTTGAGACGCGGTGCAAATCGAAAGTTTAAAGGGGGGATGCAAATCGAATGTTTAAAGGGGGGATGCAAATCGAAAGTTTGGGGGGGTGTAAATTGAAAGGTTGCTCCCGAGGTGCCCCCTGGGCGCCGGTAACGGTCGCTACGCCTCTGATCAGAATCCTTAATGTAATATATATATATATAATTCTCTTCTGGGAGCCGTTAGAAAACAAGCTGCAAGCGCCTCCTTGCAGTCCCCTCTCTTTCTTTCTATCACTATCACTACCACCCCCACCCCACCCCCACATTGTCTGGCGTGAGCTGTGGTCACGCTAAATGTTTACAAAGCTAAATGTTTACACCTCGTAGAGACGTAGAGCCGGGTTTCTATTAGGGGCAGATTATTTACTTCGATTTTAAACTTACAGTAGGTAACTAAGAAATAACTAAGAGAAGGCTGCTTTCACGGGGGGGGGGGGGTTAATGTTTTAAAGCAAATAATTTCAGTGGCAGCATTAATACTGTCGAATTCACAAATTATGAATTACTGAAAAGTAGAAAATAAAACAACTAAATAGCGGCGTATGATACGCTGCGGGTCGGCTCGTTTATATATAACCTAGCCAAGTGTACCAGTTTTGCTTAAATTATAGATATATATATGTTTTGCTGTTCTCCTTATTTGAAAAAAATAATTATAAAATAGTTACTGGTCAAAACGCTGTGTACTTAACTACCCGTTGAATGATATTAGTGACAAAGCAAAGAAATAGCTAAAGAGCTAAATAGCTAAAAATTAGTATTAGTTTTGGTCGAGATAAGTGTAAACATTTCAATCTAAATTGAATTTAAATGAAATAGTTCATTTATTGATATTCTTAAGTTGGAAGATGACGCTGAACATACTGACACGTAGCCTCAAAACTATTGCGGACAGAGAGAGAGAGAGAGAGAGAGAGAGAGAGAGAGAGAGAGAGAGAGAGAGAAAGAGAGAGGATAAAAGAGAGAGAGAGAGAGGGAAAGAAAGAGAAGTGAACACATGGGCTTGCATTTTATTAGGATGATATTCTTCCACCTATCAAAAGGTGTTCTGGATAATTATTTTAAGAAATGAGATGTAGAGTGAGTAGAGCTACCAGTTTTTGTAAATCGCGCAAGTGATCTAAACTACAATATTTAAATTTAACTGAAACGATACTACAGTTATCATGACAGGTACACAGACAGACAAGATTGCAATTTTTGCAAAACCATAGTTTTTTCAATTCCAGAAAGGCGTAAAACGTCAAAGTTTGTCAAAATCACAAGTTATAAGTTTGCCACAATCCCACAAACAAACCCACAAACAGATGTTGCGTACTAATTAAAAAATAATGCCGTTTTGAATTGATTTTTTTCAGCCAATAAACAGATAAATTTTATAAGTCCCGAAAATTTTAAGTATCCCGAGCTGCCATTTCTAACACCGTCACCTGTAAAACGAAATGCTGGCTAGTGTGTTTAAAAACAAATATAATTATTGTATGTCAAGAAAAGATGTTGGATTTTCTATTTTATTTTAATAATATTAAAACAACGAGATCATAAAAGCATTGAATAAACTATAAAAATATAATTGTTCCATTAGATTTGTTGATGAAATGATTGCACTTTTATTAGTGCAGTGATGGGCTTTGCGATATACTAAGCAATGAAATTAAATTCAACAAATTAAAATAGATGTCGAGATAATTAGTTAGAATAAAAAGACACTTATGGATGTAGCTAGCTCCATAACAACACAGCTCGGCAAAATAAACAGAGATAGAAACTAATCACACTCAAACGTACACTCACCAGACACAGCTAGTAGATACAAATAAAGAGATATTAAAGTACCACAGAAAGGAACACACCACACATATGCAAATAGAAAAAAAATCACCACATATAAACTGACTAGAAATAATAACTCACGCAAATACAGACGGGGAACTCTCAAAATATGAACAGACACGGATTAGTAGCATACAAACTGAAAAACAATTACTTTCCTTAATATTTACCGTAAAAAAAACCGTGAGTTATCTCCCCTAAACTATCTCGAATATTCTCATAGAAAACTACCGAGAATGATAACTCGGGAAATAGAAATGATTTTTAATACATTTTTAATTACTTAAACTTTTAAAAATAAAATAGAATCTCGGAGAAAAAAAGAAATGACACCAAGTGAATGGCAAGCAATATGTGTATAGTAGGGTGGAATATTATTAGTACTTTATACATTCATACGCGTTTTTTGAGAAGACGAAAATAGAGTAAATTACTACTTACGGTCTACGAAATGACTAAAAATTAGACAGAAGGCAGAGCAGTAGAACTTATACTTACATGTGAAATTTTATTTATCTATCTGAGCAGTACTCAAGTTATAGGCTTTTGAAAAACTAAAAGTAGAATAAGTGAAACTTCTGTTAATCGGAAATCGCTGAAAATTTGAAACAGAACTACACAATTTAATATAATACTTAAACAAACTTTCATTAATCTACCTGTGACGTAACACAAGTTATCGTGTTCACAGACACACAGACGCACACACTCTCACACACACAAACACACACATACACACACACCAACATACATACACACACATACATACGGACAAAATTGTAAAAATATATTTTTCCGACTAGATTTTATGCATAATGACAATACTTTCTCTACACTTCGCATTCAAAAAAGTAAAAAAAAGCAAACAATTGTTGTTTAGTACTTTGTTTTGATTTTGGGAAAATACTATTACTATCGAATGTCCTCTAAATTTACTACTAATGTACCCGTCCCCGCGCGTTGCCGGGGGATAGAAGAAAGTCTGACGAAATATGTAAGAAGGGTTTCATCAATGAGTTACTAATATTATAGTCTTAGACGCTTGACCTTGTTTTCTAAATCTGATTTATTTAAATGTAAAAAATGCCTGCGCTTGGATCATAAATATTACGACACAGGTTTACCTACACTACTGCACCGAAATAAAAAAAGGTTGAACACACTTCGGTGACCGCCATTGTGTCTGGGTCGTAGATGGGTGCTCTCGGGAGCCCCCAATTACACTACCGCAGAGGTGCCGCTTACTGTCCCTGGCTCCTTAAAACTAATAGCGCCATAGTGCTCACAGGATAACCCAGAGCGCCAAATAGCATTCTGAAACAACGATGCAGATTTCGTCGGGGGACGCGCCTAGTTTGATACAGTCAACGATTACTGTTGCCCATTGTGTCTTTATAGTATAGCCCTTTTTTAAACGAACGTATGCGCCATAAAGCTCGCTTGGGAGCCCAGGGCGCTTCCGGTCGTGCAATCAACGGGGCGCAGGCGTTTGCGACTGTTGAAGTTTTAAAGCTGAAAATAGTAGTACCCTTTACCCGCTATGAAGGACGCACGATTAAAGGATGCCAATTGCTTATATAGCCGCTCTGGAACTCTGGTCGCCAAATTGTGCATTAACTAAAATCGCAACCCCCTCACCCGGGCGCCGTTTGTATTTTGGTTTGAGTTTGTGTTAGCGTTAGCGTTAGGTTTGCATTTGTTTGTAATTTAGTTATAGAGTTCGAGTTAGGTTTATTATTCTGTGTTATATTCTCTCATATAACGTAACAGACAAACATAAAAAACCCATTACTTTTGCTTAGACGAAATCTATACCTATAGTATTCATATTATGTTTTACTACATATCCTGTTTGGTGCAGTCAAAAAGTGGTCTAAAATGAGTTCCCATATAAAATTTTGCAATCTTGTCCGTATGTATGTGTGTATGTGTGTGTGTGTGTGTCTGTATTCACGATAATTTGAGTACCGTTACAACTATGTTGATGAAATTTCATATATAGGAATTATTTCAAATTTGTAGATCCGTATTAGCTTTTCAGTGATTTCCGATAACCGGAAATGGAACTTTTTCTACTTTCAATTTTTTTATAAGCCTATCACTTGAGTACTATTTCAGATAGATAAATGACATTTCACATATAAGTAAAAAAAAATCTTATTCTCTGCCATCATTTAAATTTTGAGTAACTTCCGTTGACCTGAAGTAGTAATTACGGCAATTTCCGATTTCTCGAAGAAGTTTAGTGAAGATCACTCCTAATTTATTTTTATTTTAAGGAAAAAAACTATCATCGATTTCTGGTTGTATTTTTAATAACCAAAATATATTTGAGCTTTTATTAATTTACAAAACTAAATTTTCTTCGACATAAGTTTTAAGTGAATCAAAAACAATACAATACCTCATTCAGAAATTAATTCCGTAAATAAAGGGTTAAAAGTTTAAAAAGTGTTGATTTTGGTTTAAGCTGGAATTATTACTTGCGTTGTCAGTAGAAGCCAATAGAAATTCACCACGCTCAAAAAGATAAATATATAAACTGTCTCTTCAATTAAAGGCCTTCATACAAACGATCTATATTCTGTAAGACATACATCATTGTAAGTTAGCTTTGTTGTAAATAAATTATTATAGATAATACACTTTTATTTGCATTAACAAAAAGCATTCATGTTTATATATTTTTTCATTGTATAAATTAAAATTAAAAATAAATTTACAATATATTTAAAATATAAAGGCAATATTAAATGTATTAACCATTTGTTATGTTGGTAAGTAAGATGTTCACTTAATGATTTCTTTGCTAAATTATGTGTATAAACTCAAAACTCTATAATTCAAGTTTAAGAAACAACATACTTTATTTTTGTGTTACTACGATGACTAAAATGAAAATCGCAGTTCTCCTTCTTCTGGTGTGTTTTGCAAATCTCTGTGCTCTATCAGACAGGTCAGTTAGTTAAACTATATTTATTAAAAAGGATTGAGATAATAATAATTTATTTGAAACATCTATATCGATACAGATACTGATATTGATAATAATACAGATAATGATATCAATACAGACACAGACAGAAATACATATCCATATCCACATCCGTATCCGTATCCGTATCCGTATCCTTAATCATAACCATATCCATACCCATATCCATGTCCATGTCCATGTCCATGTCCATGTCCATGTCCATGTCCATGTCCATGTCCATGTCCATGTCCATGTCTATGTCCATGTCCATGTCCATGTCCATGTCCATGTCCATGTCCATGTCCATATCCGTATAAGAATGCATATACATATACATATGCATATGCATATACATATATATAATATCTACGTTTTGTTTTTAATCAAACAGTTGTTGCATGACGAGTGAATACTGTTCACACCATAAAGATTGTTGCTCATCAAGAGCTTGCAACAGCTTTTCGTACGGAAATTATTAGTTACATTTTTATTATAAAAATATTATTTTAAGGGAATTTGATTTATCTTAAAGTTTTTTTCTACTCAGCTCAATTAGAAATTAACAGAAAAATGTATTTTTAAGCCTGTATTATTTACAATAATAACATTATGTTAAACCTTTATAAGCTCGATGTACAATGGCAAAAAAATTTAAATAATATAGCCGTTGTTGTCGGACTAGAACAACGTTTGATACCACAGCCCGTATTTTAGAAAAAGTTATTCAAAAGTTCAAGAGAAATATACAGTGCCACCTTGGTTTTTGATCTTGCAAATGTATATGAATTTCGTCTATAAAGCTTGAAAAGAGATTAAATGGCCACTTCACAAACAGAAATCGTTTAAAAGTTTACAATCTAGTACTAATTTATCCCTATATTGCATGAATTATTGCTTTTGTTTGAAAAAAAATTTTGACTTCATATTTCTACAGCAATTGGACTAACTTGAGATGTAGAGAACTTTTTTTTTAAATAGATGATAAATATCACAACAATTTTGGTTGTTGCAATTCTGCAACTATGTGCAACCATTAAACTTTTTTTTCCATCGTAAGAAAAGAAATTTTATTAACGTAAATTAATGAGAAATGTAATAAATGCAGAGAATGATTTTAGAACAACATGGAAGTTTATTAATGACAATAAAAAAACAAAAGGAAAAATATATAAAGTGAAAAAAAATGACTAAAAATTCACATGTTAGCTAAAAATAAAGCACAAACAGTTAAGGAAAGTGATATTTCCGAAAACAATTGGAAGATTTAGTGAGACATAAATGAACATTACATTTCTCACACATGGTAGATGTGTAGCCAGTGAAATTGGGATATTTACAACGTCCCCTTTTCTCTGACGGTGTAGGGAAATGTCTTAAATTGTCTGTTCGCAAACAGGAAGGTGGAACAATTGCTTTGGTGGACCTCATCTTTTTCATTTGGAGCAGATTATCCACCTCCATGCATGGATGGCCTCGTCTTTTGTTCAGCTTGCAACCTCTCAGACACTGAGAAAGTTCTAGCTTGAACTGTAGGAGGGGAAGATAAGTTGGGTTTGGTGTAGAACAGGGGTCTCCAAACTACGGCCCGCGAGGTCATTTTATCCGGCCCGCGACGATCTTTTTTTCCACTGAATAAATGTTTGTTGGCGGTGGCTGAGGAGCTTTGCACAGAAAATTCAAAACTATTTGAAAATGTAGCTTCGTGTTGCAGACATTTGTGAAAACATAGTGACCTCCAAATGACCTCCTTAGAGACACGTTCAAAGAAGGGCTGTTGGGTTTTCATACGTTTTTTGCACAAGGAAGACTTTCCTAACATTAAAACTTTTGCATCAAAGTACCTTTCAAATTTTCGAACAACATACCTGGGGGGGGGGGGGGTGGACACTTGAAATTTGTATAATTATATTTCTATATAAATTATATTTCTTTGGGGGGGGGGGGGGGCGGTAGACGTTCTTCGGGGGGGGGGGCGCCACGACCCTGAAGAGATGCCTTAAAGAAACTCTGGCCCCCGAACTGATATTTGATAGTTAATGCGGCCCTCGGGCAAAAAAGTTTGGAGACCCCTGGTGTAGAAGATCCACCATCTCTATGATCCTCTCTGTACAGACGCCAAGACTTAACAACAATCAAGTCCAAAAAATTGAACAATAATCTGTGGTACCACTTCTTTGACCTGATTGGGTTTCTATACAGAGCCACCAAAGAATCCAACAAATCAACCCCACCCATAAAAGAATGATATATGCTCACGGCTGAAGGGCAACTGACATCAATGTCATGTTTCAATTTCCAATCAAAGCGCGTTACAGTTTTGGTTGGTAATATTGAAGCAAATGTGCTAAGAAGGGTGACAGGCTTTCTATCTAGCCATTTAATGACATTTATTTCAACTCCATCCAAAATAACACTTTTTAGAATGGAAGAGCCCCTCCCACTTTTTGAATGCTCCCTGTCCGATGGAAAAGTGCATCGTTTTTGGTCCTGACAGTCCCTAAGCAGGCTATACCTTGTTTATACAGAGCAACCTGCAACTGCAGTGTATTAAACCAATTGTCAATGTATACTTTGTGCCACACATCACCAGGAATGTTTTGTAGTAAGGTAAGCACAATATTGCCAGCAGCACCTATGTCTTCTTGTCCCTGGCATTTTGATATTTTCCCAGTATATATTTCAAAATCATGGACAATCCCATGGTTGTCAGAGGCAACAAAAACTTTGTAACCCCACTTGTAGGGCTTTTTGGCGTTGTACGTTGTTATGCTGCTTTTGCCTTTAAATGGTACTACTTGTTTATCAATGCTGATCATCTCGGATGGCACAAGGTTAAATAGACTCTTTTTGAAGGCACCAATAAGAGGCCTTTTTTGGCCAACTTATCATCTGTTCTGTCAAGGTTGTTTGACAGGTGGAGATTACTTTTGATTCGCTCAAATCTGTTAATTGTCATTTTTTCTGATACAGCAACACACTTGGTGGCAGGGCACCAATACATTCTGCGTCTTGGAATCTTTACAACACTCATATAAAAAACAATTCCAATGAACTGTTTTATTTCGTCTTAATCAAGTGTTAGTGTATTGTTTATATCCTGTTGGGAGCTGTATAGGTTAGATTGATAAACAATGGTATCTAACAGTTCATTTGTTATAATGTCATTGAAGTAATCCAGTGGCTGTCTTGGGGGTTGGGGTTCTCGCTTAGGACCAGTGAATGCTGGCGCTGTTGTGGTCTGCTCTTGTTCGCCATATTGTTGCCGCCAAAGAATACCTCTGTTTGGCACTCGAGAAGGTTCTTGGGGAGTTTCCTCTTCTTCGGAATCGGATTGATCTGAATAAATATATTTTAGGGAATATTATTTGGTGAAAATAATGCATCTTCCAGCAGTAATTATATACAAAACAAATATTTTACTAACTTAGAAACAAGACATGAAAGTATTCATTAAAATATTAGAGAATAATAATAAATTACCTTGGGCTTCGTCTGATAAATCTTCATCCCTATCTACCAGTTGGACCTTGGTACTGTCCAAGTTTTCTGTTTCATAATCTGACAATTCACTATCTTCAGTGTCAGAAGGAATAGGTCGAATAGGAATGCTAGACGACTTTCCATAAAACATCTTGAAATCCATGAATCCAAATAAGGCATAAAATAAAGATTAGTCTATTGTTCAGTAGCATTAGGCATAATTTTTTTAAACATTTTTATATGACAAATGATTGTATAGGGCCTACTAACTATACAGTAGTAAGTAGCTATTTTTTTATAGCCATAAAACTAGAAATTTTATAGATCTACGCCCTATTTTATATATTTTAGTTACTTTGGCAAATAAAGGGTAGGCCCAATATAATATAGATCTAATAAAATACTTATATTTACAATATAAAACTAACTAGATCTCTACTGTGTACTAGAAATATTACCCAAATTACCAACTGAGGGTTAGAGTGATCTACACTCTACAGTCTAGACAAGAACCTTTTTTTTTTCAATTTCCGTTGCATGTAGTTGTAAAATTACAACGATCAAAACCTAGGCTCTTACTAATAAATTCTAAATAAATTAATTAAAATAAACTTATTTAGGCCTAATATTAATTAATAAGTTTAGATTGTAAAAAATAATTTTTGCAGCTATTCTAGTATAATTTTTACCAACATTTAAGTTAGTTTATGCTTACGAATTTCAAGAAATCAGAAATCTGTAAACCGCACACAACCACTTTCAATTTGAAAGGGAAATCTTCTTTTTAAAAGAGTTCCGGTATAAAAATTTAAAAACAAAACACTTCCGAAACGAAACAAAGTTGAAAACGAAAGAAAATAGTAATATTAAATAATAATATATTGCTCTAAAGCAGGGGTCTCCAAACTACGGCCCGCGGGCCGGATGCGGCCCGCGAGGTCCTTTCATCCGGCCCGCGGAGATCTTTTTGTCCACTGAAAAAACGTTTGCTGGTGATGGCTGAGGAACTTTGCCCAGAAAAATCAAAGACATGCCTGGAAGAAACTGGCCCCGGAACTGAAATTTGATAGTTAATGCGGCCCTCGGACTGAGAAGTTTGGAGACCCCTGCTCTAAAGTATTGTTTCAAAATTACAATTGTATGCCATATAGGGTTATGAAATGTTTTCCATCAGGATGAATCGGTATACAAGTTATAAACTTTTAAGAAACCGGAAGTATTTTCCTCTTTCGTTAAACTGAAATCGCTTAAACGATTTTTTTTTAAAACATATCATATATATAGCTATGATATATGAGACGTTTTTTTTACCCAGAAATATATAGGATGTAAAGAAATCGAGAAAACTATTTCTTGCTTGATTACAATAGAGTCTCGTTTCTCGGTAAACAAAAAGTTATTGTTTTTACAAGCTTTTATTTAACTCACTTCCTATGCCTGTCGTCAGTCGTCAGTCTGTCTTGATCGAAACGCCGGGGCGAAATTGCAGCTACTTCTACTTGACAGATACTGTTCTTAATTTCTACGTGGGTCAAGACATGAAGACAATGAATCGTGACATTAAATTTGACTTAATTGAATGCTTAGTTGAATATTTATGAATTAATTAAAAGTTTGACCAAATTAATAGGAATTTCATTTCTATCGAACCACACCACACTCGTCATCAAGTTCAATAGCGCGTCATCGCGTTCAATAGGCGCGCAATGGTTTTTATTCATGAAACTCTATTGTAAGTAAAAACATGTAATGTACTAAAAAAAATTCATAAAAATGTTTTAATAAAAAGCTTTTATGTACTAATGCACTAAAAAGTAGAAAATAAATTATAGACTACTATTTTAATAACTATAAAGAAAATCGTGTTAAATATATAACAGCGACACGGGAAAAACTGTTTATAAACATTATTTCAATAATCAAAACCTCCACCAATTATTGTTGATATTACTTTTTTTTTTTTTAGAGACGGAAAAAAAAGATGTGTTACCAATCGTAGAAAATAAAAGGTAAAGTATGTTATATGGCGCTGTAAAATAATACGTAGCGTTGGGGTTGTTTCTATAAGTTTATAAATAAATTAACATAAATATAGTTATACTTTCCTTTGTATGTTTCTTGTTATACTTAAGGCTTTCTGAAATTTGAATGGCATAATAGCTCGTCAAAATACCTAAAAAATCCAAGGCCAATATAAAACGGATTGCGAAGATCAAATTAAAACAAAAAGAAACGTTGTCTACATATTGAATTAAAAACAATCGTAGATTTATGATGAAGAGGTTTAAATATGCGCATCAAAAGTTTACGTGCTATGTAAATTAAAAAAGTAAATAATATGGAAAAGTCCGTATGTTCAGTATATATATATAAATATATATATATATATATATATATATATATATATATATATATATATATATATATATATTGGATTGTAAATAAAACTGTAATGTTTTATTAACACTGTTTTATGTTTCTCCCTTGCAGAACACAAAATGAATAAAATAAACTTCTAGAAAAAATAAACATCTGACATTGACAATGTTTTTAAAGTTATTTTTTTTCTTTTGTTTTTTACTACATGAACGCGGATCATACCAGAACATTTAGCTGTGTCGCCAGATATAAAGATATTATAAACGCTGACTGATGGGTCGAAGAGATGTTCAACACAACTAATGTTTTCTTTCGCAATAGTAGTATTGCGATGTATGTCATCGTCAGTCATTTCTCAACTTTCAATTTTACAATTAGCAATAACATGGATAACTTTAAGCCAAAAAACGACGAGTTCATATCTCCACAACAACTGGTTTACCCCTCATAATTATCTTATATCTTCTCCACCTCCCCCCTTCCAAAAAAATATCTGCTTTCATTTCTTTATGTTGCGTGTTTATGGATGACAATAAAATAGCGTTTGCTCTTTTTCCCCAATCATAACACATTGGATGCAACATGTATGCTGTTGTAGGCCAATCTCTGTCAAATCTAATCACTGTTGAAGAAGGCTGTAAATTACGTTTTCAGAACAGTGAGATGGTTAGTTTTTAACTTCTTCTTGACTTTTGCCTTCTCTGTATGCAGTTGTCTAAACCAGAGTACCTAAAAATAACCCATAATTACATTTCATATACTTATTATGTTTACATACTTTCAACTCACAATGGCATAAATAAAAACAGTTCTCTTTATTTATAATAAACCGAGAGTGATCTCTCCTAAACTTTCTCAAATATTTTTATATGAAACAACAGGGGATAGCAACTCGGGTATAGGCACGACTTTTAATCCATTTTAAATACTTAACCTTTTATAAAAAGAATAAAATATTGTAGAAAAAAGAATTGCACACTAAGTGAACGCCAAATAAAGATGTTTATAATAGTGCGCAATAGTATTAGTACTTTATAAATTTACGAGCGTTTTTTTGAGAAATCGGAAATAGCGTAAATTAGTACTTCTGGTCAACGGAAATTACTCAAAATTTGACAGAAGGTAGAGAATTCGATTGTTTATTTCCGTGTGAAATTTCATATATCTATCTGAAATAGTGCTCAAGTTATAGGCTTTTGAATTCAAAGTAAAAGAAGTACCACTTTCAGTTATCGGAAATCGCTCAAAAGTTGATCAGGATCTACGATTTTGATAAAATACTTATATATGAAATTTCATCAACCTAGCTGTAACGGTACTCAAGTTATCGTCTTTACACAGAGACAGACAGACACACATACTGACAAGATTGCAAAATTATGTTTTTCCGTATCAGTGAGGTGTAAAACGTCGAGATTTGTAAAAATCTCGATTTGTTTTTACACGATTACAATACTTTCTCTATACTACGTATACAAGAGAAAGTAAAAATGAGAAAGCAATTATGGGACTATTTACTAATTTAGTCATGATGCAATGTGTATGAAAGGTGTATACGTGGGGCGGATCTCTGCGTGTGTGTATGTATCATGTATTGAGACGCGAGGCCGGGTGTGTTGACGTGTATGTTGTTGTACGGAGTGAACGAGGGTACAAGGGAAGCGACTGGTCGGGTGACAGCGGGTGTGTTGTGAGCGAGAGAAAGTTGGTGTGTAGGGATGAATGCGGAGGACAGTTGAAGGTTGGTGTGAAAGAAGACAGTTTGATGTAGAACTGGAAAGGTTCTACAGGAAAATAAAAGAGACTACAAAACTGTCAAAAGTCATGCGTATTTAATAATTTTAAAAAAATGTAGCAATAAAGATCTGCTACTTTTGTTTAACCCTCGGGTTAATTTTTTAATGTCATGAAGGAACTCATGAAACAAGAAGATGTAGTTTCATTATTGTTATGCCATTTAGCCACAAGATATTTTTTGGATGTAGGGTTAACTTAAAATGAGCACCAGTTGTCTTACACAGCACAAATGATGGCAAGTAGATATTGTTTTCATCAGTGTTAACAACAGAACCCTGGGTTGTCAAAGAATTGATTTTTTTCATGGAGTCAATATATTGATTTCCTTAATTTGTTGTATTGCTAAATTTAGAGAACATGCATCGTCTCATTTTTTAATGTGTTATCTCTTGCTTGGTGTTAGTTAATATCCAATTTAGAATTTGGTTGCCTGAATGCACAGTATATTTACATAATTTATACGCATTTCCATAGAGAGGTGGTGGTTTTCTCACTACTGCTGCACTTGATTAATTATTATTGCACCATTTTAAATCGTAAAACTATCTAATTTAATAATATTTATTAATATTAATAAGCACACTTTTAAAAATTTCACACTGATCAACAAATATTAAATAGGTAAATACAGTCTATATTTAAGAAATTAGATTTGTACCGCGCCGCTATGCACTGAACGCTTCGCACCACATACTTATATTGAATAGAACTATAACGGTAGAATATATCTAATTCCGTTATATCTTCCGCCTAGTTTCTATTTCAGAATGACAAATAAATACCAGACAGGTAAATAAGACAGTCTAGAAGCAAGACATTCATTTGAACTCAGCGCAAAATATTTAAATTACGAAGACTGAAAATAGTGAAATATTTCAAGAAAAAAAAAATCACAAAAAACTTTTCAATAACAAGCTTTTATGTAATAATGCACTAAAAAGTAGAAAATAAATTATAGACTACTATTTAAATAACTATAAACAAAAGCGTGGGTCACTTTAGTATCTACTAGACTACCCGTTATCTAGTTAGATAACAGTGGGTCTCGGGGGGTCATCCATAAATGACATCACGTCTGCCAGCACTTATCATTCCAAAAAAACCAGACCCCACATTCAAAAAGACGTTTTTTATATTTTAAAAACTCTACTAAACTCTACTTCACCTGCCCAGTGCCCCGCCAAGTCTCAGACATGTTTGTATTCTTTAAAAAAAACGATTCCGACCGAGCATGGCTCTGACCACACTATCCTTTCCTATGCTGAGAACATAGAAACAGGTGAACTCTACTTAATCTGCCCTGTGCCCCGCGAGGTCCTGATAGTCAACCTTATCATTCACATATAGGCCTTAAGAAAAAATAATTGAAAACATTGTTTTAAAAAGAAAAATAATCTTTTTAATATTACTAAAGCCATTGTTCTAAACTTTTTTAATTAATGTGGTTAATCTACCAATGAATATATCAATAAATTAATTAACGGCTTTAAATTAGTTTGTAATTAACAGTGTGTTTAAGAAAAAACAATATTTACCACCCAAAATTCTATTTTACAGCTCTACACATAATGCAGATTCTCCCCAATAACAAATAAAAAAAAAACAACATAAAAATGAGTTATCAAACGTCACTATTCAGTCAAAGTTAAGCCATAGTTCTAAAACTTTAAAATTAATGTGGTTAATAAACTACCTATGAATAAATCAATAAATTAATTAACGTCTTTAAATAAATGTGTGATTAACAGTCTGTCTGCAATCAAAAATTGTTTTCTACCTACATACTATTTTACAGCCCCCCATATACAGCAGTTTCCTTACAGTACCAAATCAGACAAACAAACAAATATTCAAACATGTTAACAAACTTGAGTTTTAGTAGTATACTAGACTACCCGTCACCCGTTGGATAACTGTGGGTTTCGGGGGTCATCCATAAAAAAACATCACGTCTGTCACTCAGAGGAGTAGCGACCCTTCCCGGCGCCTGGGAACAAACTTTTCGATTTGAACCCCCCCCCCTCCGCAAGATTTCGATTTGCAACCCCAACCTCCCCCGCTCAAACTTGATGTGCACCCCCCCCCTCAAGATTTCGATTTGCAACCCCCCTCCCCTCAAACTTTCGATTTGCACCCCCCTCAACCTTTCAATTTATTTTTCCAACCCATTTTGGCGCCCCCTAAGGTTGGCGCCCGGGGACATATGTCCCCCCCCCCCCGCCCCCTCCCCCCCCCCTCGCTACGCTACTGCAGTGTCACTTATCGTCACACAAAAAACAGACCCCACATTCAAAAAGATGGTTTTTATATTTTAAAAACTATACTAAACTCTACTTCACCTGCCCAGTGTCCCGCCAAGTCTATATCATGTTTGAATTTAAAAAAAAAAAAACATTCCGGCCGAGCATGGCTCTGACCACACTATCCCTTCATATGCTGAGAACATAGAAACAGGTGAACCCTACTTCACCTGCCCTGTGCGCCGCGAGGTCCTGATAGTCAACCTTATCATTCACATATAGGGCTTAAGAAAAAATAATTGAAAACGTTGTAAAAAAAAGTTCTATTAATTTCAATGACACTGACTTTAAAATTTAGCCTTCATTCTCCAAAGCAAATTTTAAAATGCTTTTCTAACATATCTAGCCCTGGCCACCTATACCATGTTTAAATAATGTGAACACCCGCCATTTTGCTCGTGGTAAACATGGCCTAAAAATGGTCGGAAGTCATGCGTCCGGTCCGGACGCCATATTGTTGTTAACAGCCAACCACGCCTCCAAGTTAGTGAGTAATCCTACTATATCTAGATCTATAACCTAGATAAAAAAAAATCCTATGTATTCTCGAATTAGATGATCATTGATGCTTAACAAAGATTTATATAAAATAAATAAGGCCTGAAATAGATTCTAGATGTAGAATTTACTTTAAGTCTAGATCTAGAATTTACATAGAGTCTGGTGACCTATATCTAGATGTTACGGTATGCTGCTGCGCTACGTTGCAGTGCAGTGAGAGGGTTTAATTTACTTGACTCAGCCAACTACCATTTGACTCCTCCAATACCAGGGAGAGAGTATTACACCTTGAGAACCACTAAGGCCGTATTACATTCAGACAGATCAACGATAACCGATCAGAAATAAAATGAACCAAGAAATCCTTGTACGAATCTTTCAATCTTGTATCTACATATGTCTATCTTCCTAGAATCTATCTCTCAACTTGAGTCCTGTCAACCAACACACGTCCATTCACACCAACGATAAGAATTGTTGTTAGCAGCCAACCACGCCTCCAAGTTAGTGAGTAATCCTACTATATCTAGATCTATAACCTAGATAAAAAAAAATCCTATGTATTCTCGAATTAGATGATCATTGATGC